TCTTCACTTCTGCGGGGGCCTTCCGAGAACCGGACTGAAAGCTGCCTTTGACCTTCTCGGCGGGGTTCTGGGCATCTGATTAGGTTCCCTAATTGAGCATTGTTAAATGCATAAGCTGATTGTGGCCGAAAAATTAAAAGTTCTTCTCAAAAGGGTTTCTAAATATTTAGAAGTGTCTAAACTTTTTTCTATATATAAGTTTGGTGGTTGAATGATAATTTTTAATTTAAAAATAACCTCTGTTTTACTTTCACAAAGCATGCTTAACTTTCTAAAAGGAAGCCCATTTTTGCATAATATCATAATTCTTATTACAGTTTTCCTGGAAGTGGCTTCTGCAAGCCATTTTACAACTGATTCTTCTAGAATATCTAATCTTTTAGTTTCCCTAAACTAACCACAACCTGGGTTTTCTACCGGAAACCTTATAACTTCCATTCACAAATTATAGTAACTGCCGTTTCACTTCACTTTAAACTTGAATCCCAGGCACTTAGTGCTCGTTTCATGCTCCTCCACCGTGGACTAACATTCAAAGTTGGCCGCATCAAGCCACATTGTTAGCGCTAACTACCAGGAAAGACCTCTGGCGTTTTCTGTTCCAGGCTGTGTCCTGTTAATGAAATGTCGAATCCTGAGCAAGGTCCTCTTTCCCCTATATAGATGTGTGTGTGTGGGCGCGGCATGTTCGCGAAAGTTGATAAAAGCGCCGCGAGACAAATTCTGATGTGGGTTGATGTATGTATGTGTGTGTGTGTATGTTGTTACCTGCGCTGAGGTTGAGGCCAGGATGCTGTACATCAATCTGCCGCTGTTGCCGTTTCGGTTGCATGTTTATCGTGTTTGCGGCTCATTAAATGCGGCTCATTAGGCCCGGTCAGAGTTCACAAGCGAACTGACTGCAGCAACATCAAGGGGCTGAGCTCCCTGCTCATCCTCGGCTTTCATCCTCCCAACCATATTATGCTCATGCCTGTAGAGCCAGCAAATTAATATGAGTCTAGATTCCTTACTGTTTATACAGGATATATCGAAATCCGAAAGTAGCAATCATATCAAATATTATACTCGAAATTAAACAAAAACAGAAGCGTAATCACAATCTTTGCCGCACATGAGGCATAGTGAAGGAAGTGATTGCTAGGGTGGACCTTTATTATATTATATTACTTTTCTGAAAGTTATTACTATATTTAGCTTATCGAAATCTAAAGATAAGGTTACAATGTAAATGCCTTTAACCAAAACTATAAAATTTTTTAGTTTAATTTTATTCTCATCATTGAATATTTACTTGTTAACTATAAGTTCTTAATGAATCTAAAATAAAATCATATATTAGAATATTATATTGGACCACCCTGAAAAACAGACAGAAATCATTCGATGGCAGGGCCAAATCCAAATGCAGGTTCTAATTGAAATCGACTATGTTGATCATGGACCCCCCGGCCACTCCACTCCTGGTCGACCTTCTGCCGATGACAGATGTTGGATTGGAGTCTGCTCCTTTCCTTACTCCTTTCCCTGCTTCCCCTGTGATGAATTGATGCAATGTTTAGGCCTTTTTATGAGCCAAATCCCTGTGTCCGTGTGTGCTTGTCTGGCCGTCAGTGTGTTTGTGGCTGACAAACAGCTTAAAACCTTGATGGACATTAGGCTACCAGAAACTGGGTGCGGGGGGCAAGCGAGGTGGGATGTTTTACATTTCAACGTCTGTTGGTTGGTTCAAAATCCAAACCAAACCAAAACCTTGCCCAAACGAACGATGGAGAGTACAAACAAATGCGCTTTGAGGCCTTCACTCACTTTGGCTAGGTAGCAATTACTGTTTGTTTATGCATTTGTTATTGTTGCCTTCGCAGGCAAAGAAGTAGAATTGAAATTTGAAATTCATAATTCAATTGAAGTTGTGCTTGGCTAGCAGCATCAACAGAACCCGAGACCAACAAATGGAATTACACAGGCACACAGAAATAAATTTACAAATTTTACAGTTCAGGTTTTGGATTTCATTTTCGGGGGTGAGGAAAGGGTTTCACTAACTAAAAAGTAGAAGATCATAAGTATAACTGTGCGAACTATAAAATGAAAGAAAGCTTACGAAATTCCCCTAATTTTGCTTTTCTTTCTGTGCACTGTTGCTTCCACAGAAGGGGTGGTGGTCGCCAAAGGCGGACTGCGTGTGTGTGTGTTAATTGAATGCAGTTGCAAGTGCAGCAGTATAGCCAAACCAAATGCATCGGCAACTGGAATTTCTTTGATCATTTTGCCAGAGAAGGAGGGGCGGCAAAAAATGCCAGGCTCCTTTATGTCCATTTGCTGACATTTTTGTTTAAAATGCATAAATCATCAAATGCTGCAGTGTCATAAACGAAGCAATGCACAAATACACCGAGACAATAAATAGATATGCGCATGCATACGAAAATCAAACACGGGATATTATTATTTTGTGAGCTCGGCAAAAAGCAACAGAAACGATGAGGAAAGAAAAAATAAAAGAAAATAAAGGAAAAACTAAGGAAAAATAGAGAAAAGAATTCAACTAGAAAGGGGGGCGAAATTCGTACCCTCTTTGCCAGTTGCAATAAATCTGCTGGGGCAGTCATAAATATTGATTTCGAAATTGTCCCTTTGCATTGTGTGTGTATGTGTATGTGTGTGTAATAGCCACGCCCACTTCGACCCACTTCTCCTAGATTTGTCGCTCATATTAGCTGCAGAAATGGAAATCGTTTTCCAATCGTATTCTTGTCGTTTACCTTTTGCTCTTGCCCCTTGCCGCTCTCGCCTTTCCTCAACTTTTCCTCACTTTTCCCATTTTCCCACTGCTCAGTGTTCCATTCAAGTGTAATTTGCAGTTGCTTTGCCTGTCGTTGTTATTCTTTTGCTGACAAACGCTCTTTTACCCTTTCAAATTGAAGGTCTAACTTCCCGAGAAATCATCAGGTGAAATTTGGTAATACATTCTGCATACATTTTAGGGTTTACTTTTGGAGTAGAAAACCAAAAGGCTTACTAATTTGATTGACTCTTAGTTATTTTTCTGAAAGAATAATATTAGATAAAAGATAGATTAGAATTATAGATATCCACATAGTCTCTGCTATTGAACTTTTGAGCTGTGTTAACTGATAATAAAATGCTTTTTAAATAGTTTTTAAAAGAAATCATTCAACCAAAAGAAAAATACTTTAAAACATATCTTTAGATCCAAAAACAGAGCATTTAGTAGTCGACTTTAACCCTATAACTCTATCGTGTGTTGAACTCAATATTTTCAATATGATGGCAATCGGTTTTTGCGTTTGATGCTTTCGTCATTGACCGTCAATGGTTCCCATGGAATTATCTTATGTGGCTCATCTCGAGCCAGTGTGCTGTTGCATTTTGTTGTTGTATCTGACGCTGCCGCCTGGCAGAAAAGTTTCGAATTTATGATCCGTCACTGACTTTAGAATTATGGCCAATGCTTACTGGCAGGTGGTTTGCCAGGGAAATGGAGACAGGATGAGGGAGCAAGGGCGAGATGTCGAAACGACGACACATATGCTGGATCCAGACTGAAATTGAAATTAAAGCCATAATTCATTGTCGACCAAGTCGTGGGCGTTGACTTCGTCCAGTTTCTGATTCTGGTATACCCATGACACACAGCGAGAAAAGGTCACAAATTCCCAAAATCATGGGAATTCTGTGAATTCATGAATCATTCGAAATAATAAAATTAAAATGTGTGTTAGCATCGGTGTTTTGCTAACCACATAAAATATAATTAATATACATATATATAATCTTAAAATAGAAACTGACTGATTTTATTCTTGATGAATTTCTAAGATCTTGAAACCTTTTTTAAGAAAATAAACTAGTTTGGACAGTTCGATAAGGTTCTTTGGAAAGTTCCCTGATAAGCTCTATTTGTATAAAATCGGAGCTCACTTTGCGATGCTGCATCAGTAAAGCAGTGAGTTCTCTTTAGGAAAGATGAGTGCCGCGCGTTGGATAGCTCTGTGCACCGTTATGCTGTTCCATCACGGATCAGGACAATTTCTTGAGAATGATTGTGTAGCCTTAAATCCTAATATTAGGAATAGTTCCAATCCTTGGAAGGCAGAAATTTTGAAAGGTTCTAAAAAAATCTGCACTGGCACGCTCATTAATAAACGTTTGTATTTTAACTTTAAATTTATTCCTGGATTCTCAAATAATATATTCTATTACTTAGATTATATTTTGACAGCTGCAAGTTGCATAAAAAATCAAAAGGACCTGTAAGTCATATTTTTAAAAGTTCATCAAAAAGAAAACTTTAACCCAAATTAACTCCACAGTATCGTTCGTTTAGGACGTTCTAAAAATAGGTATGAAAACTTTATAGCGACAATGGCCTATTTTCCCAAGACATATTCCGAGAAGACTAAGAAAGATAATATAGGTTTGCTTAGACTGAAAACGGAAGTGCAATATAAGACCCATATACAACCGATATGCATTACTAAGAATGATGAATATGAAACTATAGGGAAAACTTTTGAAATATTCAATAAGAAACCCAAAAAAAAGAGTTTTTGGAATATCGCAAAGTCATTTTTTAATGGCTCCGATGATGACGACAAAGAAGAGAAATTTCTATCATCCAATTTCATTGGAAGTGAAACAATCTTATTTGGACCTATGAACCGAATTATACAACAAGGGATCCTCAGCTATCAGAATAGAGAAACATATGCTGATGTCTATACGAATGTATTTGCCTATATTGACTGGATAGTACCTAACGCACTAGATGTCAACGTCGTTTATCCTGCTCCAGAGTGGACTCATACAAAATTTTAGTGTATTATTAAGTAATTATTTATTACTTTCTTTTATAATTCACTTAAATTACGCTTAAACGCTTATATATGTTAATTTAACTGATAAGCTTATCATTCAACAATATATATTCAGTAAACTCGACGTTATGAGTTAGTAATGCGAAGTCTTTTGTTTGGGAAAGATGACATCAGCGCTGTGGGTAGTACTTTGTTCTCTTTTGGTGTTTCACCAGGGATCAGCTTTATTTTTGGAAGAGAACTGTGGAGTCGTTGATTCGAAAACCAATTTCTATCCTTGGCTGGCAAAAGTTGGAACTAAAGTTAATAATGAAGTCATATGCACTGGAACGCTTATTCACAAAAGTAAGTACTAAGAATAAAATCTGGTGATATCTAAACAAAATTTACTTTTAGGAAATGTCCTAACAACTGCAAGTTGCTTGATAAACAGAGAAGAACTGTAAGAGATTAGCTATCCACAACTTAAAATATTAACTAGATAACTTTTAAAACAGGGTGGTTTGCTTGGGGAAGTGTGAAAGCTCAGTGACAGATAATCGCTATGAAGTGCACGATGTCATCATGGTCTTCATTCACGAGTCATATCTATCAAGCAGCCATCAGAATGATATTGGTTTGCTAAGGTTGCCAACGAATGTTGAGTATAAGCCGTATATAAAACCGATGTGCATTGTGTTGAATCCCCAACAAACTTGGCCAAAGTCCCGCATCAATAGCTTTCTGTTTGGCCTAAACTCCAAACAAAAATCTTATGAATTCTTATGTTCCGGCCTTCCCTGTAAGTCCGTTGGGAACCCCTTGAGCATAATGTCCAAGACGAAGAATGTTATCCAACATGGAATCCTAAGCTATCGTAATGCCACCACCTATGGTTTAGTTTATACCAATGTCATGGCACATGTCGAATGGATTACATCACGAGCTCTAGATGTCGATGTTATTTTATCAAATTATTCGCCAGTAAATTAAAATATTGAACAGAATTGTTGCGTAAAACTTGTTATATCGTATTTAATGATGTTCACACGGACTACGTGTATTTGATAAATATGGGAATGTATTGGTCAAACAACTGGATCTTAAGTTATATTGGTTAAATCTGGATTTATATGGTTTTAGCTAGTTGTTCTATTACATTCGACTATAAGTTAAGGTTCCAAAATCTTTACATAACGTTTTAGATGTCCACGTCATTTATCCTGCTTCAGAGTGGACTCATTTAAAATTTTAGTGTACTAACAATTATTGATTAAAAATTCTTTGATATTTTAAATTATAAAATCCGGAAATTCTATGTATATGTTTATTTAACTGATAAGCTTATCATTCAACAATATATTCTCAGTAAACTCGACATTATGAGTTAGTAATGAGAAGACTTTTGTTTGGGAAAGATGATTTCAGCACTCTGGGTAGCACTTTATTCTCTGTTGGTTTTCCACCATGGTTTAGCTTTGTTTTTGGAGGAGAACTGCGGAATCGTTGATTCTAAAAGAGATTTATTTCCTTGGCTGGCAAAAATTGGATCTAAGCGTATTAATGCATTTATATGCTCTGGAACACTTATTAACAAAAGTAAGTACTAAAAATAAAGTCTAGGGTTTGCTAAAGATAATTTACTTTTAGGAAATGTCTTAACAACAGCAAGTTGCTTGGTAGACAGAGAGGAACTGTAAGGGCTTTCCAATGTTGTATATCCACAACCAAAATTATTAACTAGATAACTTTTCAAACAGGGTGGTTTGCTTGGGGAATTGCGACAGCTCAGTGAGAGATAATCGCTTTGAAGTGCACGATGTCATCATGATCTTTATCCACGAGTCATATCTATCAAGCAGCCATCAAAATGATATTGGTTTGCTGAGGTTGCCAACGAATGTGGAGTATAAGTCGTATATAAAACCGATATGCATTGTGGTGAATCCCCAAGAGATTTGGTCTAAATCCCATATCAACAGCTTTCTGTTTGGCCAAAGCTTCAAACAAAAATCTTATAAATTTCAATGTTCCGGGGTACCTTGTAAGTCCGTTGGGAACCCCTTGACCATAATGTCCGAGACGAAGAATGTTATCCAACATGGAATCCTAAGCTATCGTAATGCCACCACCTGTGGCTTGGTTTATACCAATGTCATGGCACATGTCGAATGGATTACATCACGAGCTCTAGATGCCGATATTAATTATTGACAAATGATTCGCCATTTAATAGAAATATTAAGTAAAACCTTTAATACCGTCTTTAATGATGTTCAGACGGACTAAACACCTTGATTTTTAGTTATGTTGCTCAATTACCAGTTTTAAGTCGAATCTGGTTTTAGCTAGATTTCCTATTACATTCGACTATATGTTAAGATTCCCCAATCTGCATTTTATAGAAAATATTTTAAATGTTTCGATAAAGAAGAGACTAAAAAGAAGAGAGTACCAAGATCTGTAGAAGCGATTATTCATCGATATCCCCTCTCTGCCGGCCGCTTATCAGTTTCAGTTTATCACTGTTCTAGTTTTCATTCATAAAGATTTGCTCCTCCAAATGAAAATAAAGAAGAAAATACTAAATAGAAAAGTGATCTAGCATTGCTTTGTGTGTTTTGCCTAATATTTATTGTTTTAAAGGTTTATTTAAATATTTAGTTTGTCAAAATGCAAGTCAAACTCCGCGGGTGAATTGAGAATATGTATGCGCATCTATAAATACATATATATATATATATATATTCAACTGTATATAAAAACATATGAGAAATACACTCGGAGAAAATGTTAGTGACTTCGAAATGCAAGGTTTTGTGTGGACTAACAAGGTACAATTTTTTTTCTAAAATCCAACAAATTCCAATTCAACTTTGAGTAAATCAAGGTAAGTGGCCATTACATATATTTGCTTTCTTTATATTTATTTAGACGATTTGAGATGTTATAGATATTTTTTTACAGTGATTTTAATGCTCTGATAGAGAAATATTAAAGAAACAGGGCTCTGGTGCGGGGAGAGAGGGAAAGATAAGATGTTTGGAATTGCTCTTTAACGCGTAATTCTCTCTTTCGCGTGCTCTCTTTTGACTTTGTCAGTCTTTCTGTTTTCGTTCTTAAAGAGCGGAGTCCGACTTGAAACTTATTTAATGATTTTTCCTATAAATAGATTTAAATATAGATAAAATAATACATTAGAAAATATGATCTAAGCATTGTGTTTTAAATTTTCTTCAATATATATGTATTGTTTTTATGATTAAATAAATATTTTTATGTCAAAGTGCAAGCTAACTATAATTTAAACAAGGGATACAAATTTCGGCTTAAGAACAGCATTTCTATTATGTACGTAGATGTATATACAGATCTGTTAGAATTTATTTTATAGTTAATGAGCTTTAGAGGCAAACTTATAAATTTAATTGATGATATTTCACCAAACTTGTGACTCACTTTTCAATTTCGAAACATTTTGGGAATTTCTTCTTTTGAGAATTGTTAAAATGCTCGCAGCAACAGCAGCAACGTTTTTAGATTTCACTGAATTCCTGATAAGGTTCTTTAAATTCAAACGAAAGAGAGCAACTTTCTTTGGTTTTAAGTGAATAATTGTGGAGCGGCTTATCGCTTGGTTTAGTCTTAAATAATGAGTGCCACGAGCTGGTTGGTGTTCTGCGCTCTGCTGCTGGTCCATCAGGGTGATTCACTCTTTTTGGAGCAGAATTGTGGAAAGTTCAAGATTCTTACTAGTGCTACACCGTGGATGGTTGAAATCCGATCACTACACACTTCTAAATTCCTCTGTGCCGGCACTCTTGTCAACGAACGTTAGTATCAGAAATGATATTCATATCCTTCTAAAATAATAGGCTTGCCATTTTGTAGGATATGTCTTGACAGCGGCAAGTTGCCTTACGCTCGGAACCCCACTGTAAGTTATGATAATTCCAAAAATATATATTTTAATATATATTATATTCCCTTAACAGCATTGTTCACTTGGGAGTGATCGATGGATCGAATAGAACAAGGGACAAAATCACCTACGAAAAACATGTTGTAGAGATGGCTTGGATACACAGATTATACTCCGCAGAAAGTCATCAGAATGACATAGCTTTGTTGAAATTGAAAACCAATGTCGTATATAAGGAGCACATACAACCGATATGCATTGAGGTAAATGCCAAAGAGGAAAAACCCAATCCTACTATTGAGAGGAGCAAGGAGAAAACTGAATTGCCTAAAAAAGAAAAATGTGGCTTTGGAAGAAAATTTCTTAGTTGGATATGGCTAGCTGATCCTTGTCCAAGTAATAAAGTCGAGGTAATTGTAACAAGCGAGCCCACTGAGGGTGGCAGCCCTTTGACCAATATGACAGAACCAGGAGTTTATTCTCAATATGGTATCCTGAGTTATCATAATTCTGAAACCAAAAAGACCGTTTATACCAATGTAATGGCGTACATTGACTGGATAATAAAAGTAGCGCTGGACGTGGAGATCATCGAATCTGCGAATGTGTTATGACTTCCAAATGCAAATATTTCACATCAAGAGCTTTAGTTTTCCTACCAAATAAATATAATATAATATTTAATACTATGTAGTAGTTGTAAAAGTACATAAAACTGCGCCTTTCCTTATTTTACTTTTGTGTAAGTTAGATTTCTGGTGCTAGTTCCTGGTGCTAGTTTCTTCCTGAATTTTGCTTCTGTTTAATAGGCTTTTATGGCCTTGGAGATGATGGCTAATCTGGCTCCCAGATAGGTCACGACACACACCCACACACACACACACTCATTTGGTTTATTCCCATTTCTTTTATTGGTCTGCCGGAAATCAAACTTGTGCCTAATCTGCAGGGTTCCTTGGGAAGTTCCGAATTTTTGGGTTATAAAAACACTATTATACTCATCAATGAATGCTGACACTTTTTGCATTCCTCAGGGAACGGTTGCTTGGACTTAGGCTGTTACTAAAGCTTATGTCTTATAAGTCGATTCCCTTTCTTTATCTGTGTCCTTAAGCTTTGATTAGGGGTGCTTTATTTAATGTTTTGTTATAGGAAATAAAAATGACTCTTTAACTATAGGTTTTGCTTAAATATATCTTTTAGGGGAATGATTGATATAAACTTTTAATTTAAATTCAATAAATAAAATGTATTTTGCCATATTAGAAAAGCTGAACATTCTATTTAACATTTTCCTACTTTTTTTTGCAATATGTCTCATTAGGTCTCTCAAAGCTCAATTTACTAAACTAGATTTATTAATAGTCGTTTTCCTAAAAACACCCTTCAAATGCAAACTATTAAAAAATCTGATTACAAAGCGATAGATTTTAATCATCGTTTATTAAATTTCCCATTATTTTGACCGCAGATGATTGCAAAAAGTGTGAACAGGGTGCCGCTGAAAACTCAATTTATAATTTTATCACACATCCTGACACAGTTTTCCCTATTTCCAAATCCGAAAATGATTTCTCTACAACCCGTACGTACACGACCACTGACATTTTATCCAATTACAGTTAGCCCTTTGACTTCAAAAAACAACAAAAAAGTGTTATGAAATTATGGCGGAAAACCAGGACATGAGTCACATAAATTGCCTGGGGTCCTAAATCCGCATCCCCCGTTCGAGGATCTTTGCGCCCTCATGTTTCTGTCGCATTGTTTTTAAATATTGGCACAAAATCAAATTATCTGCTATTTGTCAATAAATAACTATGGACAAAGGCGAAACTTTATTAAAATTCACCACAAAACGTTGCAGTTTCCGGTTTCAATTACGCCATAAATTTTCGGCTCTGCACACCCGCACTTGGGGTGGGTGCGGTGTGTTAGAGGAAGAGGAAGAGGCGTTGCCGTGTCGGTCATTCGATGACATAGAGCCCATATTGAAATTTAAAGCCCCGTTGGCAACCTGTCGCAATTTACAACCTTCATCGTTCCCCCATCGACTCAGCCGTACCTTCTCTCTATTGGCCCATTCCATTGGCCAAGTTCAACTCGCTCCACAAAACACGAAATATGAGCCAATATAAAAGCAATAAAGCACGACATGCAAATAGAGCAATATTAAATCTGCCTAAGTCGAAAGTAAGCCCTTGGAATCCAAATAGAACTGGACTGCTCTTGGGCAATATATGTTATATTATCAGAAGATTGCACTTTAAATGTAGATTTTAACTTAGTTAGTCAGAGGAGCTATTTGGCTTACATTATATAATTTTTATTCAGTTTCATTTTCATAAAGAACTAAAGGGCAGCTTGTCTTCCGGTATGAATTATTGTAATGGCCACCAAATGAAATTATAAATCTCATTGCCCAAGTAACTGGCACAGATCAAACGACGACAGGGTGAGGCCATAAACATTAATAACCAATATGCCAGGGGCAGGAGGCCGAGGGTAAGAGGTAGGTTTCACCAGGTAAAGACAGGCGCGTGAAGCGCATAAACAAGCCGCAAAGGATTGCAGCGAAGAAAGGCCAGATCCTAGAGAACCGCCCCCCTCCAGGGAGTTCCCCTGGCAAAGCCACTTTCGCAATTTATGGCAGAGAAAAAATCGCGACCAGAAGCAAGGCGGCGGAGCAGAGAAAAGCAAAGTTTGTTACTTTGGCACGGCTTTCACCGATGATGCATTGATGCGGATTTAAAGTTTAAAAGGTTTCGCGGCCGCGGTAGAGAGATCCCTGACAGCCATTTGGCGTTTTGGCGCATAATAAATTCGAGCGGTAGACACACGGTTTAATTTATCATCAAAGGCAGAAAAGGCAGCAAAAGGCTGCAAAGGCTGACTGGCAATCAGGGCCTAGCGAAAGGCGAATGGAATTTATTGGACCAACTTACCGAGGATGGCAAACCAGTGCCGACAGTGCCGAGTTGATGATGGTTGGCAAGGTGTCTGTGCATAGTTTATTTCAAATTGGTTGCTTCTGCCAGTTATCCGCCAGCAGATTGATTGGACTGATGAATGAATGCTCATGAGCAGCGGCCACTGCTGCCTCTGCCATTGTACTCTGGGAATCGAGTTTTAAAATTCCATTATATGGCTTGCTGTTTTTGCTGCAATATTTGCCTTCAATTGGTTATTTATTGGCATTCATATTGGAATGTTAAAACAATGTGTGTGGAGCTGCGAAAGGGGTGCGCAGTTTCACAAAGTGAAGGTTGTATAGGTAAATGAAAGATTCTTTTCGCTCAATTTATGTTTTTTATTTATTTTTTTCATACTTTTGCTTTAAAACTTCTAAAAAATCACATCTGAACCTTCTGGAAAACAAATATGTTGTCTAATGGGTGGTGGTTTCAAGTGAATTCTTAGAATATTTTTAGCAGTATTTCATTTTAGACATTTTTGGACTAGCTAACACAGATTTTTACATAAATACCTTAAAGATTCAGCAACCAAACAAGTTTTAAAGACATTTGGATTGAAAGAACCCTCAAAATTTCATTTATCTAAGAGCTTAAAAGGAATGTAAAATTTAGCTAAAAAACATAAACGATTTTAATGTCCCACGCGAGTCGTAACTGAAACAATGCTAATCATCTCCGATGACGAAAGACAAACCAATTTCTTGGCAATGAAAGGCTATGGAATAGGAGGGGATTCATAATTTTCAGGATGAGATAAACACATGAGGATACTTCCAGACGAGAGGCATGACTCGACTGTATTCTCGGATATGGGATAGTAATAAAAGGGCACGCTTCGATGGCCAGAGACGACGGCATCCTCAAATCAGGCAGAAAAATGCTGCCGTGTCTGACTAGCTGCTGATACTGGATAGTCGGTGTGTGTGTGAATGGGTGTGTGTGAGTATGAATGGGTATGTGTATATCTGTGTTCCACATTTCATTACGCCGAACATGACGATGCTGGAAGCACGTAACAAGTTTAAATTGCGCTCGTTGACTGTTGACTGCCGTGCGGAAGATGCCGACATCGATGCCTCTATAGCGCCCCCTTTAACCCCTTATAGCCTCCATATCCCCATAGCATAGTATCCAAAGGCGATTCCTGATACTGATTCCGATTTCGATGCCGGCCAAGTCATGGCCAACAGCCGCAATTGAACCAGAAAAGTGTATTTATATGTAACGGAAATGATTCTGCACTTATGTCCTGCCACATGGAGTGGCAGAGTAGGGCGAATCGAGTTGGCGGCCATCCACTGATTTGCCTTGCTAATAGATGATTATGATACTGTATATGGATACTCCTATATAGAACAGAGCCCACTCCACATTGGCATCTTCTACGGGCAATTGGGTGGGCGATAAGCGTCGTATTATGCATAATTGTAAGTGGAAAATCTGAAAATGGCTGGAGCGGCAATGATAAAAAAAATGTAAATAGAAGCGTGTGGGTACAGTGAAAGAAATGTTTTTAGGAGCTTCGTTATAGATGTTCAGGTGATAAATATATATAAAAAGATATGTATAGCCTTAGTAAGGCAAATGTTGCTTGGGAAATATAAAATAAAAATCTAATTTTGTATATCTAATTTCCATGATTTTCTCTCTGTGAAAGCACAGCCAATGCTATGACATTACTTTTTATGTAGTTAAAGTTGAATGGATGGGAGTGTGTGCCTGTTGTGATTTTGTTGTAGGGAGCTAATTTAATGGCTGCCTCCTCTCATCTTGCTAGCCGAGATTTGTTCACCTGGCAATGGAATAATGGCAGACTTATCGCTCTTGCCAACTCTGTTGATTTTTATGGCATCTCGGTTTCGGCTTTGGTTCGTGGGAATGCGTAAATGAAATTATTATCTGTGGGATTTTTGGCAAGCTGAATAAATAAATTTTATGTCTGCGGCTGTGTGTATTTTTATGGCTTGCCAGTCGAGGTTGAAGCGTACTCTTGCAGTAAGTGTTGCCTGTTTGCTTAGAATTTGCATTTATTGTAATGGCCCAAAAGTTTGCCTATATCAAAGTCATGCACGCTGTCAAGCATTAAGCGTTTCTCGCACACTTACACTCAAACACTAACACCGATATCAGCTACACAAATAGGAAGCAGGACGCAGGACAGGTATGCATGCTAATGTTGCGTATACGTTATATTTTCAGCTGCTGCAAAACGCGACTCGCTGCTCTCTCAAATATTTGTGCAGAGCCAAAAACGGGCACACAAATGTGTAACCAACACGCTATTTGCTTGAGGCAAACTCACAGATACAAATGCTCATGCCAGATACATATATACCAGATGCGGCACAGTGCAAATAAAAATCTTGGGCAAAAAGGTGAAACGTGTATTAAATAATTCCTTTGTCGAGCACATTTTAATCGTGCAGCGGTAGCGGCAAACAAAGGCGCCACTGGCCGCAAGCCCAAATGTCCAGCGGGCAGAACAAACATGGCCCATGGCCCATGGTCCATGTCCCACACCCGCCACTTAAGCACCCTTAACCCTTTCTGTTAGCCCCCTTCTTCCAACCCACCCCTTCAAAAAAAGTGCAAACTTTGTAAAAATTCAGAAGCAGAAATTTGTTGTGTCCACGTACACGAGCTTTTTGGTCTGTGGTCGCGCATGCCAACTAAGTGGACTTCAGATCGCTGCACTGAAAGAAATTGATGAGTTTTTAGCATAGATTTCTTAGA